TGCATTCTGAGGACCAGCTTGTACTTATTGTCTACTCAAATCGTGTACAGCCCTCAACGAATCTCTAATGATCGTAGCTTGATTTTGTTTTTGTCTTTATATTTTCTTAACATTTATAAAGTTTCGTCTTAGAAATATAGGAGAACACAAAATAATCTCAATAATATTGATCTTTTATTGTTAAAAAAATTAAAACAAGTCTTTACATGTAGTATTTTATATTCCGAAAAGAAAGAAAAAAAGAAATCCTAAACAACATGATAAACATTAGAGTTTATTTTCTTTTCTGCCTGTGTTTATTTTCACATGGGTAACTTTATTCTCAAAACCTAAATAGAGAAAGAAGGCATCTTTAGCAAGCCCCTTGGCTTTTAGGGTATAATAAACTCTAGGGAACATACACTTATTGTGTATTAATGATCAACTACCAATATCTTCTAGGAGACACAGCTACCTATAGTAAGTGGGAAAGAACATCTTTTTGTCTTTTTTGCAAACTTATAATTTGAGGAAATAGTGTAAATAAAGTCCTCTGCCTACACTACTGGCAGGAAAGAAAGGCGAACAAAGGGACTCAAAAAGATAGGTTAGCGACCGGGTGAAAGGTTGGAATTGATAGATAATGGCTTGGGGGTCCTATTCCCATACTTGGATGATCATTTACTATCTGAGTGCTTGCCCAATTATTAACTATCAACAGCCTAGTGCCGCAACAACAGCAGCTTTGTGCGTTCATTTCATGTCTGCATAGTGCAATTGCTGTTGCTTTGCAGATTGTGCTTTTATTCATTGCTTCATTATTTGGACCTTTTCAATTATCTGTTTATTCTTTCTCAATTTGTACGAATTTCACCTCTCTTTGGACTGGATTAAACTAATAAAAAGGCAAAACGTGTTGATTTTCATTATGCCTGTTTCACTATGATTCTTATGTTAATTACAGTACAATGAGATTCTTGGCAAAGGAGCTTCAAAGACAGTGCATGAAATTTCTTATAAGAAATGCGCCATTTTTTTTTTGTTAAAGATCAAAACCCAGCTTTTTGTGGAATTTTTCTGATCAAAATGCAGCAAATCAATTGAAACTTTGGATTTTCTTGATGAATAATTATGTCTTTATGCAGTTCAGCATCCAGATCTTCATCTTGTTGGGTGAAATCCAGAGGTCAATAGTGATTCATCAAAATTTTGTCTGTAAGATAATGAGATGAATATGGAGATGAAGAAGACTGATATATTGTGGATTGAATCAGTAATTCACTTCTTGAAATAAACACCAATACAAGAGGCAAAATATATAGAATGAACAAAGGGGTAAAAGAGTAAAGAGTCCTCCTAACAAACTATCCAACAAAAGGAATATTATTCTATCTAACAATGTGCAATACACGAGCTGGCAGGACACCTGGCTTGATAAGTGTGGTGCCTTATGTTCTAGCTGATAAATGAGACAGCATTGCTGAGTTGATAAGGAGGATGAGCTGAAAAGGGAGATGAGCCGATGCTGATAAGGGAGAGCAACATTATCCATTTTAACAACTTTAAAGATGGAACGGTACTTGAAGGTTATTTGTGCCCCTTTTGAGGATCAAGTCACAATGGTAACATTATATCTCTCTTTTTTTTTTTACTATACTGAAGAAGTTACTTTTCATAAGTATGTAGANATATGTTTAGTTCTCTCATGAAACACGGGGTTGGAAGCAATGTGCAACGCTGCTTGGTTGTCACAGTATAAGGTGAGAGGTTGAGGATGACAAACTTGGAGGTCCTATAAAATGTACTTCAGCCAGGTAATCTCACAACAAGTGCTAGCCATTGATCTATATTCCGATTCAACAGACGAACGAGATACCACCATTTGCTTCTTAGATTTCCAAGAGATAAATGATTCTCCAAGGAAGATACAATACGCTATAACTGATCTTCGCGAGTCAGGGCAAGCCACCCACTCAGAGTCATGGAATGCTTGAAGAGTCAGTGAGGATGAAGATGAAAACATGAGTCTTTATTGTGGTGCTAACTTGAGGTATCTGATTACCTTATGAGCTGCGGCCAAATGTGTGAAGGAAGGAGCGGTCATTAGGACTGTAGGTGGCACTTTGTGGAGAGTGAGTCGATATAAGCCACACCATGATTCACCATTCCCAATCGTCCTTAAAGATAAAAGGTCCACATAAATCAGATGATGGTTTAGTTTTCGAATGGTTAATAGTCTGCACATGATTGACAGAGTGAATGTGTTGTGCATTATCCTTGGGTCGAATCAAGGCAAGGAATTCCTCATATTGTCCCTTGGTTATGGAAATTGGCTTCTCACTTTCCTCCAGTAGCACATTTGTCTGGTTTGGTTTTCAGGGAAGAGAAGAGAGTCCTTTGTATAGTTTATGGTTTGGGGGATAACCATTTAGTTTAAAACATTTCTCCATGGTGTGTCCAATCATGCTGCAATGCGTACACATAGAAGCCTAAACATTCCCTGCTTTGAAACATTTGTCTAAGGTGTGCCCAGGTATTTTACAAAAGGTACAATATGATTTGTCCTTTTTACCTGCTGCATTATGCTTTCCATAGTTGAGTGATCTGCTGTTGCCATAGAACTTTCTGGTAGCCATAGCAATAGTTTCATTGTTAACAACAGTAGAGGTAAGTTGTCTTTGCCTCTTGCTGTTGTATGTAAGAAAATACCTTGTTAACAGGTGGGAGTGGATCAAGCATCATGACTTGTGCTCTGGTGTTGTCATAAGCTTCATCTAGGCCCATCAAAAAATTTATCACACAGTCACGTTGATGTCTATCAACTAGCACCTTCAATTGGCCACAACTACATTCTGGGATAGGGTCATAGACAGAGAGTTCATCCCATATTATTTTCAGCTTACCATAGTACACTCACGGGGTCACTCTCCTGCTCCAGATCAGCCAACGCCTTTTTTGGTTCGTATATTCTGGGTCCATTTTGCTGGGAGAAACGATCCTTAAGTTCTATCCAGATTTCATTCGCCTCATCCATGAAGGCAATACTGGATCTGAGTGAAGGGGATATAGCATTTTGAATCCAGGAAGCGACCATGTCATTGCATCTTTCCCATGGATCAAAAGAGTCGCTGGTTGGTTTAGGTTTGAGCAAAATTCCATTGATAAATCCTGGCTTGTTCTTTGCTCTGAGTGCTCATCAGAGTGCTCTTGACCAGGTGGGATAATTGTCTGTGGTTAACAATTCAGTGACCAAAATGGCTCCAGGGTTGTCTGAGTTTTCTAACTTGTATTGCTCAGAGAATTCAGCAGTAGGGGAAGGAATTGGAGCTGCATTTTCACTACCAGCAGAGTTATTTCCGGCAATGGTAGTCATGCTCTGATACCATGTAATATAATGAGATTAATATGGAGATGAAGAAGACTGATATATTGTGGATTGAATTGGTAATTCACTTCTTGAAATAAACACCAATACAAAAGGCAAAATATATAAAATGAACAAAGGGGTAAAAGAGTAAAGAGTCCTCCTAACAAACTATCCAACAAAAGGAATATTTTTCTACCTAACCATGTGCAATACACGAGTAGATGAGCTGATGCTGATAAGGGAAAGCAACATTATCCATTTTACATTGTTAGACATCGAGGACTTGGAAGAGGATTTCATCATGAGAGAAAATTTCGAGGAAGATCCATTTATATAAAACTCGATAACCATCTATGATAAACAATGAAAATAATATCATTGCACAAATGATGACGCGACAAACTCCCTCAGTTGCAAAAAAAAAAAATTTAACCACAAACACCACCTGTTACATAATAAATTGTACTACAAATGTTGACTATTTTAAAATATATTATGCAACATTTCAAATGCAATGTAAATCATATTTCGTGGCTAACATGATTTGTTGTTAAAGATAATCACTACAAGCAAGTGTTGTTGCATAAATTAGGCAACAACTATACATTGTTGCACAAATGATGATGCGATAAACTCTTTATGTTGCGAAATAAATTTAATTACAAACACCACTTATAACATAATAAATTGTACTACAAATGTTGAATATCTTAAAATAAATTATGCAACACATCAAACACATTGTAAAATAAATTTCGCAACAAACAAGACTTGTTAGTAAAGATATATTACTACAAGCATGTGTTTTTTTGCAAAAAAAAAAGTACAGGTAATAGAAATATATACCTAAAATAGTATTCGTAATAAATATTTTTCTTTCAAAAACACTATTAGAATTATCTCTGCAACAAATTGACTTGTCGCCGTTTTAATTTTTCGTGACATATATGTATTGCAACGATAGCACGACGACAAATATCCTGTTGCTATTTTGTATTGTTGGCGTCAAACAAATAATTTTTCATGTTTATTGATGCGATGAATGATTGAAAGTTGTCGCAAAATATATTTTGTGACTCATATAGTACAACAATATCTGCAGCAAACATATTGTTGTCACAAAACGATTTTTCAACAAAATCTCTATTTACACGACAACATTTTCTTGTCACAATTTTGGTATTTTTTGTAGTGAAAAGAGAAGTTTTTGGTCATGTCATCAAGTATTTCTTTTCTAAAAATTTCTTTAGTTTATTTTTAGAAATATTATTTTAAAAAGAAGTTCAAAATTATTGTCTTGCATGCACACGCACGATTCAAGCATGTGTACATGCAGCTGCCTTTTAATAATTGGTAAAATAGTCTGACTAATAACCATCATAGGATCAAACCAGCCAATTTTTTAAGTTGTACCATCCCTTAGGACCATCCATATAGCTCTTTTAAAAGTCAAGGATAATTATAAAATGAAGCACTCTTCAATGTTCTACCAACCAAACCTCACGTGTCATCCAGAAGTTCTTCATTCAAACTTTTTACTGGATTTCCTGATGCATTGTAAGAGTTTAAGTTTCCCAATCCAATCTGTTAATGTATATTTGAATATGTGGGATCCATATCGTTAAAGTAGATTATTCTTTGATTTTTTTAGAAGATGCAGTCTTTGAATCCTAAGGTTGCTTTATTGCGAACAAATAATCCTAGGGTTGCACTGATTATGGAGATCTTATATGCTGTGAAAATTGTCTGCAATCTTTTTACTCTGGTGATTATATCTTGTCTTTTTATAGCATTATTGCATGTTTAATGAGTTTCTATCCTTCACAAACCTTGCGAAAAGTTGAATAGGCTATTGCATCCGAATGTATTGATTTTGTTTCGACTTTGCTCCTTCTAAATTAGGAGTATTTATTTACTAGTTAGGAAGTCAAGAATTAAATTAAGATATTATTTTGTTTGTTTTCACTTCATTTCTTGTGTTAATCTTGGTGTATGAATTTGCTTCGAATTCTTGTTTTTCACTTAACTTAGGTCCAATATTTTTTACTGCATTCATGTTGCGCCAATTTTGCATTAGATCTATTTTCTTATTTTTATTTGCTTACGGATAATATATGGGGATCACAGCATCCTACGAGGCCATAGACCTTGGTTAGAGACTCCTTGGGGGTAAGGGCGAATATATATATATATATATATA